CCCCCCTGCCCCCCAACTCCTTTTTTTCTCCCTCCTTCACTTCAAAACAAAACACACAACTCTCTCCTGTCCGCACAACCAGAAAGCACCATGCGTCATTTCAAGTAAACATCCGCCTCGCCGAATTATACAACAGTTTATATTTATTTAAAGCATTCTCTGACTGTTCTAAATACAGACACTTTGTGGAAAACAGCACTTGGGATTTCAGGCATAATTTGAAATCTAGAGAGACGTGAAAAGAAACGACAGAAAATAGAAATACCGTACGAACATCATACAAGGCAGGGGTAGGCCACGAGAGACATGGAGGAGATGTGTGGAAAGGGACATCATGACAAAGATGAAGCTCATTTGGAATGAGCCAGGAAGGATGGCCCAGGATAGAGATAAATGGAAGGAGCTTGCATGTGGCCAAGATCGTGGCCTTCTCTAATAACGTAGGCCACGCCTAGATACCCTGCCAGGGGTGAAAGGCATTGTTAATGATAATGATGACATCATTATCCCATTGCTTCAGGCAGGCGTATGAAAAATCACGGGCAAAGCGCCAGCATGAGACTTAAATTGTGATCTTGGAGCGAACGTTTTTTTCCCCTTCAGTTTAAAATTCGAATGTCGAACAGACTGTTTTTCTCTCGTAAGAGTTTTACGGCACTTGCAACACAATAAGGTCATATAAGTGCCGAATATTAGAGGTGTTAGAAGGGAGTAACAAACACAAAAAAGAAGGAGGGGAGATAAGGACGATAGTTGTTTGATAGGAAAGAAGCAGCAAACCACACCAGAGTACCCGCCAACCACCCACTCGAATAGACTTGCAACTACTGCAAAACTATCTACATAAAATAAAGAAGTTAAAAAAACAACATCATGTACATCACGGTAAACTGAATTCTGGCAAGTTTTTTTAGAAAGCAAAGGGTATTCTTTTGTTTGTTTTGTCTGTGTGTGTGTGTGTGTTTGTGTGTACGTGTGTGTGTGTGTTTGTGTGTGTGTGTATATGTGTGTGTGTGTGTTTGTGTGTGTATGTGTGGTTTTTTTAGTAGTAAAAAAGCTACTGAATATAAATGAGTATTTATAAAGCAAATAAACAGCATAATGAGCACAGCCAGAGGCAAAAATACACACAAAGTATCCATCAATCACCAGGTCATTAATAAAAGTACTGAGAATCAAAGGTAAGCTACTGTGCTGGCGTTGACAAATAAAACATAAAATTTATGGACCGTACTTATTTGAACAGAGTAGAATTATATAATGCTTTGAAGAGGCAGGGTAAACCACCTCTCTGTTTCTCTGTGTGTGTGTGTGAGTGTGTGTGTGTGTGTGTGTGTGTGTGTGTGTGTGTGAATGTGTATGTGTGTATATGTGTGTGTGTGTGCGTGTGAGTGTGTGTGTGTGTGTTGAGTGTGTGCGCATGTATGTATGCGCGTGAGACAGAGAGAGACAGAGAGAAAGAGAG